TCTTGTGCTTCAGAGAGGGAAACATTGCCAAACTCTGCTGATATTGAATTTCTTTGTCAGTCGGATGTAATTTCTGCAACAGAAATTCTATCTTCGAGCGGTCGATACAAGAACATTTGGAAGTCATCAGGCAAACTGTAATAAACGATTCTAGTCCCAGGCCTCTTTTATCAGTATGAGTTGAGAGGATGGAGATTCCTTCTCTAAAAAAATAAAATAAATTTGAACTTGCGGTATGATCCAGCCAAAGTTAATAACTTTTCTAGTCAATGGGCTTTGGTGGGTGAAGTGTTGGAGTTGTACCAGAGAGATCTGAGTTCAGACCCCCCACCCAGCTGTGAAGTTCATTAAGCTAGTCTTCCTCTCTTGTAAGGTTGTTGAGAGTGTGAAAATGGGACAACTGTGTGATGATGCAGGATAGAGCATTTTCTATGGTGGCTGACTGCTTTTGGAATACCCTCCCCTTGCCAGCTTGCCAGGCTCCAATATTGCTGTTATTCTGGCACCTAGTTAAAACATAGATTAGTTTGTTCAAGCATTTTGAAATGTTTTTACTGCTTTAGCCTAATTTGCTTTTTTCACATGCCTATTCTGATGAGTTCAGTTATTGAAGTTTACTTTATGTATAATCTTTCTTTCTTTCTTTCTTTCTTTCTTTCTTTCTTTCTTTCTTTCTTTCTTTGCGATCACTCGTAGCCAAGTAAGATTGTCTTCCATAAACACAATTTTAACAATGAATCGTTAAGTGACTGGGGGGCCCAATTCTGGATCCATACGTCCTTCCACAGTGGGGACATTGGTTCCCGGGCGGGAGTTGATCACGGTGTATAATATAATATAATATAATATAATATAATATAATATAATATACACTGGTATCAGTATTAGTGAGATACTTGAGATATTTATAATAACTTCAAATAACCTTTCGCACACACCTGTTAGGATTTTCTTTCCTAACAAAATGGAAGGAGTCTTCCTCTATCAGAGGAAACATGCAAGCCAATAAATTTGAAATTCCACTTACTTCAGTGGAGCGAGTTTGTTTTACTTACTGCACTTAACAGTCACCCAGTAACTTGCCTTCTCTGAGCAATGGACAAGAAGTGTCAAATCAAATTAAAAACACAATGACTAAGATGCAGTTTGATTAGCAGCATTGAAACAATTAAAAGGAGCTAAAATCCACACCAGGCAGAAAAGCTATAACCTTAAAAAAAAAATGGGAGTGTAACAGGCGTGTCAAAACTCAGCAAAATGGGATGGAAAGTATCAGATTTTTAAAGCCTGGGAGAATAAAAAAAAAGGTTTTGCCTGGCACCTGAAAGACGTTCACAAAAGACTTTTTCAAGTTCTCTTGACACCATGCACAGTAATTGTGCAAATGGGGGTCAGAGGGATGAATGTGTTAGCTCCACCCCTAAAATGCGCATGAAACCTTCATGAGTGCAGGAGGCTCGCAACTGTAGCTATCATGGTCATCCGCACAGGGTCCCCCCCCCATATGATTACACTGCGTCAGAACACCAGGCAAACCTCTTCGGGACTTCCATAAACAAGGGGCCACTACTGAGAAAGCCCCATCTCCTGTGACCACCCTCCATATCTCAGATGGCAGGACACTTTGTGGCTGTGCTGGCTGCAGCTGATGGGGGGTTGAGGTTCAGCACCACCTATGGACTAGTGGGATTTGTTATGGCATTGACTTTTATGACACCATCAGATGTCCATGTCATCAGATACATGAAGTGTTATTCTCAGTTGTCAGGTATGTACACATGGACGTATTTTTAAAAATGCAAAGAATTGGGGTCAAATTTATTTAGCATGTGTCTCTCCTTCCTTTCTCCACCATCTGGAACTAATATGGTGTACAGTAGGCGTTGGCAGACTCCAGGCTTACTGGATCTACTTTGTTTTTCACTACAACTCTGAGATGCACCAACCAGAGTCAAATGCAAAATAGAGAAACAGCGAAGTGGGCACTATCCTGACCCCAGTGACCTGGACACTGAGTCAGAGGCTGCAGGGGCACCAGATGGAGAGTTGAGTCAGGTTCCAGGCTCAAAGTGTACTGATGAACATAAGGAGACCATTGTGCCTGAGGCTGTTGGACAGGAGCCTCCCAGAAGAACCTCACAGTCCCCCAGAACTTATAGGGCCAGAGCCCAGATCTTCACAAGCACCTTTCTTTGAAGAACGAGATATCTCCCTACATACATCACCAGTCTGGCAGTGCAAGGAGCAAACCAAGATGAAAGCTATGGAATGTAGGAGCAGTGTCCATCTTCAGGCCAGAGAGCTGGCCCTAGGAGCCTCTGATGTTCTCCACAAGGGAGTGGAGCCTGGAGGAGGTAGTCTGGAGACAGATGTTCACGAGGCCTCAGCCTGCTCCCAACTTTTGTCAGTCCCGTCTGTGCTCCAGCAACCTTCAACCTAGCTTTGCCCCTCCGGCCTTGTTGCTTTCTCTGTGGGATCTAGCATTGGAACAGAATATGGTGCCCCCGAGCACATGTTCAACCCAGAACTGGAACCCACACACATTTCCTTTTTTTACCCAAAGCTTTATTGATTTCAGCAGCCTCATTTAAGCAAAGGAGAGGCCTTTTGTTGTTGGCATTGCTAAATGGTTGGGATTCTGTATCATTGCTTATTTACTGCAAATCACCTGGAAAGCTACCAGTAGGTCCCAATTGTCCTTCTGCCAGCTGCTGGTGTATGTGTGGAGACAAGGCACTGTTTTCCCTCTTTCTGTGTAGTTTTAAGAGGTGGAGGCTGAGCTCTGTAAGGGGTCGGCAACCAGCGGCCAGGGAGCCAAACCCGGCCATCGCCAATCACTCTCTAGTCTTTCTCCAGAGCAATCATCCTGTTTTGTCCACTGCAGTGTTGGTCAAATGATTGGGGGGGGGGTTGTCATGCTAAAAAGGGTGTGCTGGGGGGCAGAAGTCACTAGGATGGGGAAGAGCAAGACCCAGGTGAGGAAGCAGAGGGTGGGGGGACACTGCCCCACTGTCAAAGGCTCACTGTGGTCACCTGCCAATCGCATTGCTAACTACCTGCTGTTTGACGCAAGCGAGACTCTCGGCCCCTGACGTATTGGGTTGGGGGGCTGTACCCCCTTCGAGCCCTGTGGTCCCAAGGTTTCTCCCATCTAAATCCTTAGCAGATGCTCAGCACCAGCAAGGTGGCTGGTGGCAATGAAAGTACATTCTGTGGCAATTCAGCGGAAGCCTAAATGTATGCAAAAGAAGTTGAGCAATAACTAATTGGCAATAATGCAACACTCCCCCCCCCCCAGCGTGCTACGTTAACAGATACCTGAAGGGAAATGCAAAACCATTGACTCTATTTATGCTCAAACAGAATGAACCATCATCTCGAGGTGATGATTTCATGCTGGAGTCTGCCTGTGAAATTTATTTGCTGGAGATATATTCTTTCCCTTCCGGAGCATAACTTAATATTCCTAAAAGTATATTTGTTTTCCTCCTCAAAGAGAGAGAAGAGGGAGAGAAATGCAAACTAAATTCTTAGAGGCACGGGAAGAAGCCATTTCTGCTCCTTTTATAGCCAATTCCTTTTATACAGGAATCGTGGGTCAGACAACCCATTTTCCCTCACAGATACCTGGGGACTGTTGGGATTGCTTGGTTTTGTTTCAGTTTTTTTTAAAAAAATGTAAATCTACCTTTGGAGCGCCACCAATAGTTGCTAGACATCCCCTTTCCTACTATTCTGTAGATGGCTGGAGACTGTTCCTCTTCTCTTGTGGAGGTTAAAAGATTTAGCACTGATGGGCTCCAGGTTCCCTCTGAATTCCCCTACATGGAGCATTTAGGCGACAGCTTTATTTTGGCTGTCTTTAATGGCACATGTCAAAACCACTAATGTCTGGTTGCTGATTGTATTTGCTAACCTCATCATCTCCTCCTGCCACCATCTGCCTTCCCCAACCCTCTTTGTCTGATTCCCTCCCAAGTTGAAACAAAACCTTACCATATGGGACCACCAGACCACCAAATTTATGTATTCATTTATTTCCATGACTTTTTTTTATTACTGTAAAATCAAAAGTACAAACAAACGGGGGGGAACCTGATTGAAATTACTAAACATAGCAGCAAGTAGAGGTTGTATTTTCCTAATGACTAGAGAGCAGATAAATGTAGAAAAATAAAAACAGCAAAACACTTCTTAAAAGCTGATTTTTGCATTTTGGTGGAGGAAGAGAGTTTTGTATATCTGAACTGGATGGATAAGAAATGAAATCCCGCCAAACGGCGTAGAATTGTTTAGGGTCTTCCTTTCCTTTAGAAATATGTAATTTGTGAATGCTTTTCTCTGCAGTAGCCAGAGTCCGTGATACATCATTTAAATGCACAAACCTGTAAATTTAAATATATAAGCAGTTTTAAATGTTTCATTTCTTTTCTTTTAGCACCCAGAGTTAAGCATTAAAGTCACGAATCCCCAGATACACAATGTACAGTGGTACCTCAGGTTAAGAACTTAATTCGTTCTGGAGGTCTCTTCTTAACCTGAAACTGTTCTTAACCTGAAGCACCACTTTAGCTAATGGGGCCTCCTGCTGCTGCTGCGCCGCCAGAGCACGGTTTCTGTTCTCATCCTGAAGCAAAGTTCTTAACCTGAGGTAATATTTCTGGGTTAACGGAGTCTGTAACCTGAAGCGTATGTAACCTGAGGTACCATTGTATTTATTACCATCAGTAAATCCCAACTAGTTAACTGTTCCCACTTAAAAAAAAAAAAAATAGTATGTCTCTCTCAACAGTATATAAGGATTTGTGACAACATGTGCTTCTCTTTGTTTGGAAACAGGCCAGGTCAGGTTTGTGCATTTAAATGATGTATCGTGGACTCTGGCTACTGCAGAGAAAATCAAAGTGGCCTGATGAACATAATTCTAGATATAGGTAGGTTGGTGTTGGTCTTCCGTAGTGGAAACAAAATATAAAAAATCCTTCCAGTAGCACCTTAGAGACCAACTAACCTTGTTACTGGTATGAGCTTTCGTGTGCATGCACGAAAATATTGGTATCTGAAGAAGTGTGCATGCACACGAAAGCTCATACCAATAACAAACTTAGTTGGTCTCTAAAGTGCTACTGGAAGGATATTTTTTATTTATTTATTTATTTTGGATGAACATAAGGAGACCATTGCACCTGAGGCTGTTGGACAGGAGCACCCCGGGCAACCTCCAGGAAACCCAGAGCAGGGTATGGAAACCATAGCAGGGCACCTGCTTTGCAAGCAGAAGGCCACTGATTTAATCCCCTGCATCTCCAGGTAGGACTGGGAGAGACTCTTACCTGAACTCCTGGAGAGCAATTGCCAGTCCGTGTCCACACTAAGACAGATAGACCAATGAACTGACTCAGTGTAGGGCTTTTTCCTATGTGCCTATGCCCACCTTGTCCAACAATAGATAGTCAGCAGTGAACTGCATCTGGAGATGGAGGTTCCATTTGGCTATTGTTTGTTGGTGTGTGAATTAATTCATAACAAGTGAAATCTGTTTCATCTATATCTACTCATGTGTACCAGAAAATTGCAACCTTCTACTGCTTCTTACAACTACGTAACCCCAAAGCTATTGCGTTGTTTGGATTTATTTTAACAATTGGGTGCTGATGAAAAGCCCTGGCTTCAGATCACAATAAGGACATGCAGAATAAATGCAGTGAAATATGCCAGTTCATAAAATACACGCGCGTCAAGTAGAATCTAGATCGCAAAAGGGGGTCTCTGCGGCTTTGAGTCAGAGCTTACGGTGGCTTAAAGGAAATGTCCCGGGGTAGCCAAAACGGGCAAGGTTTGCTCTTGCTCCACTGTGTGTTGTTACGGCTTTTGGGGATTTAATACAGGAGTTTCAGAATTGCAGGCTTTCTGGCCTAATTTTTCTTTGTAAGATGTAAGGGGGAATAAAATGTGTGCGATGATATTAATTTGCTGTTAACTAATATGGCACAACATCAGTGGGCGACAGTTAATCTATCAAACCCTGCCATGGCCCCTTTCTTGTTGTTTTAATATGTTATAGGGATGAAATGTGGTTTTCAGATATGTTTTATATTTGTACCAGGTAATGGAAAGTACAATATATTATGTGCTTGTACCCTAGAGGGAGGGGGGAATTGTGAGGGAAATAATTGAAGATCGTAAATCTTACCCCGCACTTCAGCCTTTCTTTGCCTTCTGTTTTGTATCTCTCATGCAAAGTTCTTAAACCCAGCCTCGTCCATCACGACACGGCCCCTGCTCTGGCATGCATGGTATCCCTGGCCTGGCTCCAAAGAGCTGAACAGGGTGTACTTGGTAGTCTGTGCTCCAACACCATGTCAAAACCTGCTTTTGAAAGCCCTCTCTACAAGTGACCCACTCTCCAGCCATGGGGGGAAGGAGGCGCTTGGGGCAGAAGGGTCCAAGTTCAATCCCTGCGGTCTCCAGGCAGAGCTGGACAAGACTGCCATCTGAAACCCTTGGCATAAGGCAGCTTCATAGGAACATGCTTAGTTGCTTTCTAATGTTTGTCAACATCTCCCTGGAACTTCTGTGGTTTGCGCATGCAAAATAATCTCAGTAAAATTGCTAGTTCATAAATCACGCCAATATCGATCTAGACAGAGGTGACCTAGGTTTTTAAACTCCTAGGTCAGAGTTTTGTGGGACGTGGGTGGCGCTGTGGGTTAAACCACAGAGCCTAGGACTTGCCGATCAGAAGGTCGGCGGTTCGAATCCCCGCGACGGGGTGAGCTCCTGTTGCTCGGTCCCTGCTTCTGCCAACCTAGCAGTTCAAAAGCACAAAGTACAAGTAGATAAATACTCCGGCGGGAAGGTAAACAGCATTTAGGTGTGCTGCTCTGGTTCTTCAGAAGTGGCTTAGTCCTGCTGGCCACATGACCCGGAAGCTGTACACCCGCTCCCTCGGCCAATAAAGCGAGATGAGTGCCACAACCCCAGAGTCGGTCACGACTGGGCCTAATGGTCAGGGGTCCCTTTACCTTTACCTAGGTCAGAGTTTAAAGGGGCCATTTACCCATCTAGTTCGGTGTTGTCTTCAGCAGCTTTCCCCACCCTCATGCCCTCTAAATGCCCTCCTTAATGTCCTCAGCCATGTAAAGAGTTGTAGTTCAAAACACCTGGAGGGCACCAAGTTTGGGAAGGTTGGTCAAACAGCAACCCTCTTCAACTGGTGGGTTGAACCCCACCTCTGAGTCACAGTCTGATCTAAGGTGGGCTGCAACAGCAGCACTCTCACCTCCACATAAATTTATGATAAACAAAATATTAAGGAATGGGTCTCCACATGCAGGTTTTGGTTAAAGGTGAGTCCTGGGTCTGGAAGAATGAAAGAATACTAGTTTGCACTAACTCAGAAGTGGTTCTTCAAGGTTTCGGATGAAAAGTTTTGCCCAAACCTAGCTGGAGATCCCAGCAATTGAACCTGGTTCCTTCTACGTGCCAAGCAGGTGTTCTTTACCACTGACCTGTGGCTTACGATGACAAAAGGAGGCAGACAAGTTGTACTATACATTATAGAGGGAGACTGTAGACTCACAGCTGCTGTCCTTGGCAAGAAACATTTGGCTAATGGCTAGTTTGGCATCAATATTTTTCTTAATGTTTTAGGCAGTATACTAATGGCTAAAGTTCAATTGGATCTTGTCAGGGAACTGCCATCAGTGCCGGAGGGAGAGAGCAAAATCCAGAGGGATTCCAGAGAGCGTCCCGGGATTGGGAGAGGCAGCCCATCTTCTGGGGAAGAGAATCAGCGTAGCACCAGTGGAGAAGGGGGGCAGATGGGGGAAGCGGCGAGGTGGTCCCATGACTCCTTGCCGGGGACCAGCGGGGAGAGTAGAGGTCCTCCGCTGCCTACGCCCTCCTTGCGCAGAAGGCTTTCGCGCAGAGAGAGTAGGAGGAGACTAGGCGTCAAAGAGCTTCTTTGCTGGAAGAAGTTTAAGAAACGCCCACTGACGGATTCTGCCAGCGATTGAGACAGCCACGGGTGAGTGGCTGTCCGGACAGAAAAGGTTCACTCAGGCAACCCAGCCAGGTGTTTGCACCGGCTTACACACGAGCAACCCCTAGAACCACTACAGACCTGAAACTTTTAAACCTAAACCCACACAGCCCAGGAGCACATGTGAAGCAGCAATAAAAGGAAATAATGGTTTTAAGCATAGACAAAATGCCTTTGATTCACTGCTGAGCAACTGCCACCAACCACCGCACATCTGGATTTGGGGAAAGTCTTCCAGGTCAAAAATCACGACTTCTAGAAATGAAGTATTTCTGATAGCTATTAGGTGTGTGCGCGTGTACATGCATTTCAAATAATGAGGACTATCCACAGACTAATAAATCTGCCTTGGGTATGTTTACATTCAGCCATGTCTCTGAAGAAACCGACAGATCAGATGTTTTAGTTTAGAAACTTTCCATCATGATATGGTGACTATGTGATTCCTTGCACAGTAGGCTTAATAACTTCCTTTTTCTCTCTCCCCCCATCGCTGTCAAGATTTACTGCGTAGCTTACGCATGCCCTTATCAGACAGTAATCTTAAAAGGTTTTCCTGTCTTGCTAACAGTGCACTTCGTTTTGAGTCGATGCTGAGTAAATATAATTGAAGAGTAAGTTACGTTCCCAAGCATCTGGCGAAGTTCCTCTTAGTTAATTGTTTCTGTGTAGGGATACACACACACACACACAAACACACACACACACAATTTGCTGGCCTAGGTGATGACTCCAAGGGCGGAATCTGCACTCTTTATCTGCCCTTCTTTTGCATTCTATTTAATCGTCTTGCGGCAACATTACCTGAAGCCGTTTAACTGTGTTAAAATGAGGCAGTGCAATGTGTTTTGGGATGGGCAAATTTATCAGTTTCTTGTTCTCTCCAGTCAGTTCATTTCCCCACCAGTTTGTGATTATTGCTATCATTAAAAAAAATCCTGATGAAAATTTCTCCAAATACATATATTTTTGCAGCAATTCCCCCTAATATAATGTACTTTGCATGTTAGATTCACTTTTATATGCATTTTATGCACACTTCACTCTAGTATTTGCATTTTTGTATACATGTTGCTTGTTTGCAAAATTCGGAGAAAAGTGAGTTTCAAAATATAGCTCTAGTTCGTTTTGCATACAGCTTCATATAGTGTGAATTTATCATGTTTGCCTTTAAATGCAAACTGAACCAGATTTCTTTCCGCCCCTAGTTGTCTTAAAAGGCTTTTAGAAAATCTTTTAATGGATCACTTTGTATATGTAGAAAAAGAAACAATGAGCTAGATTAAAAAAACAACTAATCCAATAATTATTAATGACGCTCAGGCTTCAACTCTGGATTCCCCAAATCATTCTCTCAGCCCAGGTGCTAATTTAGCATGAGAGGAGATTTCATATTGGAGCTTGTTGGATGAGTCTAATATAATGTCCATTCCATGTGCAAAAAGAGCTTTGGTTTTTTCTAAGCAGTTGCCTGTAAATGCTTTTATAAAACCATTCCTAGTTTCAACAGTTATTGGAGGTTTCTTAACAAAAAATTAATGTTAGAGCCATTAAAAGACTTTTATTGGTGGGGAAAATTTGATATTTTCAGAAGTTTGTGTACAGCAGCAGAACTGCACTTCAGTGGCATTTCATTTTGGTGGTGATGATAATAATAATAATAATAATAATAATAATAATAATAATATAGAATGGAATGCTTTCCTGAATCTTCAGATGCTTCACATGACATTCTTACTGATCCGTACAACAGCCCTGCTAGGTAGGTGACACTGCAGATGAAGAGTTGGAGATAAGAGTCGTTGGGAAGCCTGTAGCTCTCCAGATGGTGTTGGCTGTTCACTCCCACCAGCCTCAGCCAGCATGGTCAGTGGTTGGGGATGCTGGGAGTTGCAGTCCAACACCTGAAGATCTGCAGCCTCCCTTCATCCTAAGTCCACGTAGTAAATCCATAACTGAGTTTCCCCGCCTCTGCTTTTGTAACCCTTGCCGACAACATCAAAGGAATTATTCGTTTGGCATTACTCGACAGATTTACAGCCAGTTCTCTACTAATATATTTATTAGTAC